AAAAAAAAAAAAAAAAAAAAAAAAAAAAAAAAAAAAAAAAAAAAAAAAAACAAAGACAAAGACAAAGACAGCCGGTGTGGGGTGTTGTCTTGCTGCACCTGTAAACTGCAGCTGCTGGTTCTTCATTCCTTCTTTTATAACTTCTGCTCCCTCCAACCCCACGCGCCGCCGCACGCTCTCCCACCGCTCTATCAACACTACACACACGACAACACCTGCAGCAGCAGCAGCAGCAGCAGCAGCAGCAGCAGCAGCAGCAGCAGCAGCGGAGGAGTAGTGGTGAGAGTTGTTGCAGCTGTGGGAGTAGCTGCAACAGCAGCAGCAATACAGCAGCAACTGCAGCAGAAAATATCGATGCTGTATATATCCTCTGCATCGACTAAACCTGCATGCCTGCAGCAGCAGCAGCAGCAGCAGCAGCAGCAGCAGCAGCAAGTACTAACCTGCAGCAGCAAGTATAAGCAGGAGAGGTTTTTTTCTGTTGTTTGGGATGCTTCGTTCCAGTGCTGCTGCTCGCTGCAGCAGGTGCAGCAGCTCCTGCTGCAGCTGATGCAGCTGCCTCCATGCAGCAGCAGCAGCACCGTGCGGTGCTGCTGCTGCTGCTGCTGCCGCTGCTGCTGCAGCAGCAGCTGCTGCTGCTGACGCTGGTGCTGCAGCAGCAGCAGGCCCCGCACTCTCAGCATGAGGAGGGGCGGCGGCGCCACCTTCCCACTGTCTTGCTGCAGCTGCTGCTTCTGCTGCTGCTGCTGCTTCTGCTGCTGCTCTCTCTGCTGCTGCTGCTTCTGCTGCTGCTCTCTCTGCTGCTGCTGCTTCTGCTGCTGCTGCTTCTGCTGCTGCTGCCTGTGCTGCTGCTGCTTGCGCTGCTTCTGCTTCTGCTGCTGCAGCAGCTGCTGCTGCACTGTGGGTGGGCCAGAAGCGGACAGCTAGTGCTCGAGGCCACCGCCTGCTGCTGCTGCTGCTGTTGCTGCTGCTGTTGCTGCTGCTGTTGCTGTTGCTGCTTTCTGGGGTGTCGTGTGCTGCTGTCCTTTCAGTTGCTGCCGTAGAGCCATCCTCAGCAGCAGCAAACGACTTGTTGCTGCTGCTGCTGTTGCTGCTGCTGCCGTTGCTGCTGCTGCTGCTGGTCATCTCATCTTGAGATGCCACAGACTGCTGCTCGGGTGAGTACGGAGCCTGCTGCTGCTGCTGCTGCTGCTCCTGCTGCTGCTGCTGCTGCTGCTGCTGCTGCTCGTCTGGAGTCTGCTGCTTCTCATCCTTTCTGCCCCAGTGTAGAAACGAAGCCGCACGATGCTGCCAGCGAGCAGCAGGAAGAGACCCTGCTGCTGCTGCTGCTGCTGCTGTTGTTGTTGCTGCTGCTGCTGGATACTGCTGCAGCGGCAGCAGCAGCAACGGAGGGTTTAACAGCCGGCCGTGGAGAGAAGGTCTGCATGCGAACACACTTTGCTGCTGGCGCGCATGCAGAAGAGCAGCAGCAGCAGCAGCTGCTGCTGCTGCTGCTGCAGGACAACGAGCAGCAGCAGCAGCTGCACGAGAGGTCACTGCAGCACGACNGCTGCTGCTGCTGCTGCTGCAGGACAACGAGCAGCAGCAGCAGCTGCACGAGAGGTCACTGCAGCACGACCGCGCAGCAGCAACGGTGGCGCCGATGCTGCTGCTGCTGACGATGGTGCTGGTGCTGCTGCTGTTGCTGCTGCTGCTGCTGTTGTTGCTGCTGTTGCTGCTGCTGTTGCTACCCTGGCTGCCAGCCGGATGGCCCTACGGGTAGGGACGGACTCAGCAGTAGCAGCAGCAGCTGCTGCTGTTGCTGCTGCTGCTGTTGTTGTTGCTGCTCTTAACGCTGCTGTTTCTGTTGCAGCAGCAGCAGCTGCAGCAGCAGAAGCTGCTGCGGGAGCAGCAGCAGGCCACGGCATAGGGACTCGAAGCCAGGGACAAGTGTAGCAGCAGCAAGAGTAGCAGCAGCAGCAGCAGCAGCATCTGCTGCTGCTGCTGCTGCTGCTACTCTTGCTGCTGTTTTACTGCTTTGAGCTGCCTTGCTGCTGCTTGGTGTTCTGCTGCTGCTGCTGCAGCAGCAGCAACCGCCGGTGCCCTCTGGGCCTGTGACAGATCTGTAGACGGAGCCGCAGCAGCAGCAGCAGCTGCTGCTGCTGCAGCTGCTGCTGCTGCTGCTGCTGTTGTTATTGTTGCTGCTGCAGCACTATGCAGCAAATGAGAAATATAAAGAAAAAACAAAACACATTTGGACGAAGGCCTTGAGCTTCTGCTGCTGCTGCTGTCGTTGTGGGGCCCCGGTGAGGCGCCAGC